ACAATGGTAAAATGGACTATAAAAATGTCAGAACAGGCAGAAACAGCAAAACTGACCTGATTAGCCAGGGGCAAAACCACAAGTACTTTTATAAATGACTGAAAACCTTTTATGAACTTCTTGGTGAAAATGGAAGAAAGTGAAGTGATCATGTATGATTTTGATGACTGAAAAGGGATTAATTAAGCTGTGAAAGAATGTTTTGTAATACCATAAGTTTGTCTATAACTGTTGAAAAGAAAACTTTATAATTGTTTGTGTCACAGTTTTTCTTTCAGTTCAGTTTTTCTTTCTTTTTCTTCCTTATATCTCTTTTTTCTTCATATTTTTCTTTACATTTGCTTTTTACTTATGTGCAAACTCTTGATAAAAATTATATATTGAGTCACCAGTTTCAGTAGATGTCGTTTCCAAGTAAGTGTCCTCGACCTACAATTCTTACAGCTTGATCCTAAAGGGACCCTGTTAAGTCAATTAAAGCCCTTCTGTCTAGATTAAGAACTTATTTTCATTTAATGATTTTGCACAGTGAAGCTAGAAGATACTGGTGGTTCCTTGATTAAGCTGTTGTTTACTCTTTGACAGTTTATCTGAGTAAGTAGTTTCTTGATTGGGGTATTATAGACAGCTTGATTGTTGATCTGGTATTAAGCTTGGTTTTAATCTTTGCTTATCTGAATATTGATTGCTGGCAAGGAGGTGTTATGGTCTTTAAGTTTTTTATTGCCTCTTTTGAATGCTATGGAAGTGTTGTTTATCTCTGTGTGCCTGTTGCTGACCAATTTGTTGGAGTGCCAAGCTTCCAGGAATTCTGTAGCATTTTTGGACTTGTTCTAAGATGCTCCCAGTTTTTCATTGAAACTGTGATGAAGTCTGTGCCTATTAAGGAATTTTTATCATGTCTTCTGACTGCTACTTGGGGCTCATGAATGTACTCTGCCAGTTATCTGTCTTTGTCCAACATAGTGGCTGCTACAGTCCTTAAACTTACGTTATAGATGACTCCTGTTTTTCTATTGGGTCTTTTGGTTTACTTAAGATGCTTTTTAGTGGTTTAATTTGCTTGTGTGCTACAGTGATTGTAATAGTCTGTTGATTTTTTTTTCAACTAGTGCATTGGTAATTGGTAGAATGTGCTGCCAGAAATTTTGATAATGGGAGACAAATTGACTGGTTTAAAAATGGGATTGTACAGATTCATGGAGTATTCAGGTGATCAGTGGCTGCTAATACTGATTGTTGGCTTGTTTATTACCAAACTTTGAAGGCTGTTTGTCTCCTAAGAAGGATAGATATTCAGAGAGGGGAATAAAACACATAACCAGAACACAAAACATTTACAGCTGGATAATGCCTTTGTTAGGACCCTGCTCCATACTCAGCTATGGATTTTCCACTCAGTTCTAAGGCTTTTTTAGTGGGCTGCTCTTCCCTCACCAGACGATTCTGTGCAAGAGTGAGGCTGAGGGACTGCACCAGCACTGCAGTTTCAAAATCTTGGAGCCAAGTGTTTGACAGAACATATTATAATGGAAACAGTGCTGATTGTTCAGTGGGCTTCTGCTGCCAACAACTCCAGAGATGTAATACAAGAGTTGTGTTCTATATGAACGCTCTACAAAATTTGATGTCTTAGAAGCTTTTCACCTCTTAAGGCAGAGGAATCTTTTTTATTCTAGGTTATTTTTAGGCTTCGAGACATTCTTTCAAATGGCACTTGGTGGTTGTTTTGAGCTTTACTGCTGGTGGTGTGGAGGGTGCTACTTGTGTTATTCACTGATATTTCTCAGGAAATGCAGAGGAATGCAACACTCTGGGAAGCACAGAAAAAGCCCTAAGGAATGGGAGGGAATTCTCTCATAGTTTCTCCCTTACTAGAAGTGCTAGAAATAAAAATGGCTGTGGAAAATTGCAGAAATGGTTGTCCAGTGAAAGACTGGCCACCACACAAACCCTTGCCTACCTCATCACTAAATGCAAGAGAATTTCATTCTGTTCAAGATAATTTTAAAAAAGAACTCATAATTCTTTTACTCTGTTGAATGACAACAGAAAGAAAGAAAGAAAGAAAGAAAGAAAGAAAGAAAGAAAGAAAGAAAGAAAGAAAGAAAGAAAGAAAGAAAGAAAGAAAGAAAGAAAGAAAGAAAGAAAGAAAGAAAGAAAGAAAAGGGCAAGATACATTTTCAATCTAGCTCTACTCTAAATGATGCAACACAGCTGAAAATTGGCTGTGACAGGGGAGGGTGCCCTCTGGACTCTTGCTTGAGGCAGCAAAATGTATCTATCTGGCCTTGAGGGTGATTTGAAAACCCGGTTTTCCAAGCTGTTGTTGAACTGCTGTTGTTGTTTTGCACTTGCTTGAGATTGTTTTGTTTTTCAGACATACTTAGTAAGGCCTGCACCCGTAACAGAGCCCCTCACACATTTCTGCATAGCAGTTCAGATTTAATTTTCTTGTGGCAAGTACATTTGTAGTTTTAATAATTGCTTGTAATTCCTGGCTGTTGTATCACCACCTTCTGTGGGAGGCATTTGTTTGTGCCATGCTTGTCAAGCACATATTCATGTTTCACTTCATTGGCCTTACAAATTGTCAGCTGATTGTTTTTTGTTTGTGTTTCAACTTGTGTGAAACATACTGAACAGCAGAATACTTTTCCCCTAAGAATGAGAAGGACAGTGTTTTGTGATACCATTTCTGACACTAAAGAATAAAAATGTAGCACATTTGTTGATTGGATTTATTCATGAAGGGAGTTGAGCTTCAGTTGTTTTCACACATGGAACTTCAATCTCTGATGGATTCAACATCAACCAAAGATTAATCTAGGGGAAAGTGCCCACAAATCAGATGCTAGTCGCTTCCTCACTTCCAACATTGTCACTGTGGTGGCAGCAATCCTCACATGTCACTCCCAACTGCCCATGTGTAGATTGACATTTGTTTGGTTATACCAACCCTGTAAGAAGGGAAGGGCTTTCTCTTTTTATTAGCAGAGAGAGAGAACTGTTACAGGGATGCAGAACCCTCCCTCTGCTTCAAGAGCGTTCAAGTATCAAGTGATCCAATGATTATATGTATGTTCATGCATAAGCTTTTTTATGATTAAAAATGTGAGATATTGCCCTGGAGTAAAAAAAGCAAAATGTCTACTGCACAACTATTGTTAATCCTTATATCTTCCATCAAAGGCCCCAAATATTCTATGATAAGAATGCCCTATTCCCAAACTGGATGATGCCAGGTCCAAAAAGTGGATGGACCATTTAAAAAATTAAATAAAATTAATTGATGTAACAAATCATGTTTATGGATTCCCTGCAATGATAAAAGAATAGAAAATAAATAAGGAAGTATAATTCAATTTCAGCTCCATGCCAACGTATTGTATTTAATGCCCACCCACAAACAATAGGTATAAAAGTCAACTTTTGAAATGTAGTAGAATGTCTAATGTCCTCCCCCATTGCAGACATAAGATTATTTTTTAAAATAGGGAAAATTCTCTTTTTAAAATATAAATTCCCAAAGAACTATAATTACTAAAAAGGTAGACATAAGTGTGTCAAATTAGTTTGAAAAATCACAGTTTCCATAAAAACCTCTGAGACAGTTCATCTATAAAATTAATAGTACTTCATTTGCTAAGTTAATGTTTCTCCTATTCATCAATATATATATGTCTGACTGTCACCTGATCAAATTAGATAAGTAGTTAGATATAAAAAGGTTAACTTGTACACTCTGCTTTCCCAAAAAGAAGCTGGATGTACAAACATACATTTATTTTTCTCTTGAGCATACACACATCTGTGGTCAGAGACACACACAATATCCCCTCTCCCTCCTTCCAAGAGGAAAGCATGGGAAATCTGAGCAGATTACATAAACTTTAAGTGGCATGGAAATTGGGGAAGCAGAAAAATGAAACCAAGGAAAAGAGAAAACTACCAGAGAAATCCATTTTGACTATACAGTAGTCACTATCCTGATTTTCCAGGCTCCAGAGTAAATAGCCTGAAGCAGGTAGCACAGAAAGAGCTGCTAAGAGAGAGAGGTAGTCAGAAGTGGGTACTATGGAAGGGCCAAACAAAAAACAAAAAAATGAGAATGGAGAAGAAGTTGAATATGTGGGACAGCGAAGGTGATATTTGAGGGTATCAATGGACAGAGGGTACAATGAAAAGGAAGTAGCAGTGAGGAGAAAATATTGAGGAAGTGGCATCTACATTTTCAAATGTATCTTGAAAATATAGCTACTTATACTTTCTTGAAACATTTATTCAATGCTTTTCACAGACTAATTCCCAAGGAGAGGTATAACAAAATACATACTGTGATGGCATATTAGCACACTCGACTACACCTCTAGACTTATTTTTCAGCATGTTTCTAGAAATCTAAAGAAAGCTTTTTTTTATAAGAAAGGGTTAGGCTTATAAAAAGGATTTGCATGAATATTTGAAGGTATGTATGGAATTCTTTTCTTTTTAGCTTAATCTGGCTTTCACAATCATACATGTTATGATGATACATGGCTTCCATAAACCAGCTTGAGTGCATCTGATACTCAAATTGAAAATGGTCATTTGGTCTTTATTTCTACTGAGATGTATGATGACATAGAGAGTATGCTAAATGGATACTTCATTAATGGTGACTAACAATGGGCAGTATGGAAATGTGATCATGCTATTAATGAAGCATAGCCATTATAAAGGAGCATCCTTTGGTAGTAATCAGACTTATCTGGTTTTATTCCTCCAATTCTCATTTTCCCTGCAGGCTGATAGAAAAATAGAAGTTACTATAATATTAAAAAAGTTACAGTGATGCATGTATTTCCCACAATATGCTAATAAATATGAATGGATGCTAGCTTTGGCTATAAACAGCCTTGGGGAAAAACCTTTTTGAAAACTGTGTATTTATTTAAGGGGAAGTGTATCTTGTCCCTGCTTTTTGAATTAGACATTTTACAATATCTCTTTCATTCCAGTGGATTTCCCAGCATTAGAGGATGAGGTTTCAATTCATGGGGAAGATTTTGGAGAAAACTCTGAAGATGGTGAGTGGCATATGTTCCCTGCTTCAGTATTCAAGTTTCAATTCTACTTTCTATGATTCTCTGAAAATCAAATTATTGCTTAGCCACAAGTAAGCCATTTATGAATCTGAGGTATGCGGATTATATCAGTTTGCTTTAGAATTGGTAGGGATGTGTATGTGAGTCATTACCTCTGGCTACAAAAATCATGTTTAGGGTATAGGAATGAAGTGCAGTATTTTAATAGCTGTTGGTCCCATAGCCAGGGCAAGTTTTGCCTTCACATTGCATAATACTAATTAGCATCTGCACTATACAAAGTAGGGCCTGTTAATTGCGAGAGCTCCATCTATTAATCAATGGGTGGATGCTGGCACAATTGCACACACACACACACACACACACACACACACACACTGCTTTCACAAAAACATCCAGCATATCTTTTCTCAGATATAGAATGAGAGCAAGTTGAAATACAGCAAGCTAATATCTATCATACTCCTTCAAGGCCTGGAGAAGTTCTAAACGTATATGCTCCCTATGCTTCCCTGCCAGCCTACTGGTATTTTCTCACCATTACAGAATTAGCATCCTTCTGATGTGATGGATCTAGACCAGGGGTCTCAAACTCAATTTACCTGGGGGCCGCTGGAGGCAGAGTCTGGGTGAGGCTGGGCTGCATAAGGGATTCCACAAAAAACGTTGTTAAAAAAATATCCTCAAATGTTATACTTTCATATCACGGTGGGGGCCACAGGATATCGTCCTGTGGGCCGCAATTGGCCCACGGGTTGCGAGAATGAGACCTCTGATCTAGACGAAGAGAAATGTAAAGCTTTAGCTGGAGCATGAATTGGAGACAAATTAGGCAGCAGAAACATTTGGCAACTAAAAGATACAATTTGTTTCACTAGGGATGCAAGCAAAATCCTGCACTTTAAGCCTTTCTCACTAAAGTAAAACCACAGAGCATTTCTTTGAAACAGCAGGCAGAACACGGGAAGGGAAACTATTATAAAGTGATGCAGATTGGAGGTCAGGCTGAGACAATGAATACTGAACTACTGTCTCCATCTAGGAGACAGAAGCTCCCTGTTGCATGTGGCTTGAGAACGTAGAAGCCCCAGCAAGAGACCCCAGTAGTAAAGAAAGTTATGAGGACAAGTTTAAAATGAATTGCACAGTATCTACCAAAGCAACAGTGTTTAATTAACCCTTTAGTTTCAGACATTTTAACCTTCCTATAAGTATACAAATGAAGATCTGGTTCCTACAGGACAAGGTTTCCTACAATCACAGTGACAATTTGGTTAAAGGACATGTAAAGCTTGTCCTCCAGCCAATTTCAGATAAATGTTCTAGAAGTTGGCCCCTCCAAATTGTCCATGGGAACCCTTTTCCCTCAGGGGCATTTCCTTTACTAGTCCCACCCAAAATGGCTTTTCTGATAACCTCTTGCTTCCTATTGCATTTCAGATGCCATAAACCTGGACAGAAATCACACCACACTTTCTACAAACTCCCCACTGACTCCACTGGTGGACACAGAGAAGAGCTGGCTATATACTCTGGACCCCATCCTGGTTACCATCATAGCCATGAGTTCTCTAGGAGTTCTTCTAGGGGCAATTTGTGCTGGGCTACTACTGTACTGCACCTGTTACTACACTAGCCTCTCTTCCCGGAGCTCTACCACTCTGGAGAATTATAACTTTGAGCTTTATGATGGCATCAAACACAAGGTCAAAATGAACCACCAAAAGTGTTGCTCTGAGGCATGACTGATTGCACTGAAATCACATTTGACATTTCATTCCAGCAGTAGTGGCTGGGGAAGATTACTTTTTCTATGGGAACTGAATGCCATAATTTTACACAAGCCCATGCTGGAATGCTGAAGGGGTGGGGGGTTGCTGTTGTTTAGAAGAAAAAGAAGAAAGCAGCAGCAAGAAGAAAGTTGAAAGAGGATTACCATTTGTAAGAAATGTGGGTAATTGCTCTTTCAGGAAGAATTGGGTAGGCTCAAACAAAGCAGCCACCATGCTCTCTATTTTATTTCTTCTGTGAGCCAATTGCATCTGTAGTAGGCAAAAGATCCACTTGGTTTTGAGGAAGCGAGGGAGAAAATGTGCATAATTGTTTCCCACTCCCTTCTTCGGATGAGATTGCTAAATGGTCCCCTCCCCTTCCCCTTTCTAGTCTTAGTAATTATAATCTCACACTTGTTCACCCACACAGGAACCCGCGTGCCCTAGCCAGTAGATCACCTTTCAGAAATGGTGCTTGAATGAAAGGGACTGTCTCAGTGCTGTGGGTGATGAAACAAGTCCAGGAAGCTGCAGCCACTTCCAATCTCCCCCACACCAGCAATGAAACCATGTGGTTCCTTTTCACCAATCGGAAAAGGAGTGGCAGTGATTGGGGACAGAGGGGGGAGGAGGAGAGGATCTGGCTCATGGATCAGCGGGAAAAGCAGCACTTTCTTCCTGGATTACCAAGCAAATGAAACAGGCAGCCAGAGATGTGAAAGTTGACAGAAGCACCTCCTCCAGAGAAGCTGAAGAGCCTTAAAGTGGTTTGTGAAAAAGAGCCATTTATTAAATCCAGATCTTGGACTGAAACAGCAGAGGCCTTCATCACAAGGGCTCTTTCTTCTCCTTTTCTTTCTTTCCCTCTTTTTTTAATCTTATTTTTTTAGTGAACATTGCCACAAACAAAAGACACAATTATAAGGTGCCCAAGAACTCAGGAGATGGCTTTTTATATATTTCAAGAGGAAGACAGGCTGCTAGGTAGATAGATAAATAAATATATTTTGTTAATGCTGTGTCCACTCTGATGGGGAAAAAAGAAGTATTAAAAGGCTTGTGGAGTAAATGCAGTTATTCAGCCCATCACACAGGGTGGCAATGATACCTCTAACTGGCAGATATGATTTAATGTCATCATTAGCCCATAAGAAGGACTTAATTTTTCTGCAAAGGATTCTAAACTAATGTACCCTTTGAGCAGATTCATAATTGTGGAGCTGTCTGGCGAAGACATTGGTGCTTCACAGATTAAGCTCCTTTCGGGAGGACCCAGCCATTGGAAACCTAAGGTTATGGCAACATCGCAGGGTATCAAGGTTAAGCTGATAGTATGGTTGTCACATAAATGGATCTGGAGCAATCTTCTATCACCTTCTTCCTTCAGAAAAATGCAACTTGCTTGTTGTGGTTTGCATAGCAATTTGTTTATTTTTGAAGGGCTTTGTCTGAATATGTATTTGACTTTTTTTAATAAAGTGCCTTAGAAAAATATTTTTCCCTTAGAGGTGTGTGATGTAATGAATTACCACTGAGGCATTCAATGTTTCTCCTTATCCCTCTTCCTCCTTCACTTCTTCATTGCCATCAGATCTCTACTGGGTAGAGTTTTGTCCTCTCAGATAGTCAAATATATAACTGTTTTCATGTGTGCTGTGCCATGCTTGAAGTATCTTGCAGACCAGTTTACAGTACCAACTTTCAATTTCCAATGCCTTTTTTCAGCTCTTGGCAGCAATCTTCAAGCCACAGGGTGTGTTTTGTTTTTTGTTTTTTAAGTCATAGTGACTGAGGTGTGAGATATTTTCCAAATTAGCAGATTGGATGGGCAGTTTTTCTTTAAAGTGGTAATTTGAGGAATGACACCTGATAGCTTACTATGATAGATTGATACTCAATGATAATGCTATAATGCTGATATAGCTTCATCTTTGTGCTGGCTAAGCTCTTTTCTAGGAATGTACCTAATTTTCAGTAATTGTCACTTGTTACATTTCACTGGAATGCATTTCTAAATTGCTACTTGTGAATGTAATGGTACATCTTTGGGTACGCATGGGTCATATATGTACACATGTATAGAAGTGAGGATTTTCAGCAGCTATCCTACACACACAGGATCTACTGTCATGCAAACTATGAAATGCTCTTCTGGACAGTTTTATATGCATGTTTACCAAGCTAATGTCTAGAACGTTTGGTGTATGTGGTAATAACCACTTGTGTGCAAGGGTATGAACAAGGCACTTACTTTCACTTTAACACACTGAAGTCACCATTTTGTGCAGGTGTAGGTGTGCTTAAGTGCAGCTGATTTTGGTGCATTTAATTCCGTGATAGACCAGGATGTTAAAGCATTGATTTTCACACTATTTTCTCCATTCCACAGAAGACCAGCAGGAGCAACTCATTGAAAGAAATAATGTTACTGGTAGTCCTTGACTTAGGATCACAATTGGAACCAGAATTTCCAGTGCTAAGCAAGGTGATTATTAAGTGAGTCACATTAGATTTTGCAACTTTTTATGCCATGGATGTTAAACAAATCTGGCTTCTCCCATTTGCTTATCAAAAGTTGGCTGGGGAGGTCACAAATGGCAACCCCAGGACTCTTCAGCCATTGCTGAAGTACATGCCAGTTGCCAAGCCCTCGGATTTTGATCACATGACTGTGGAGATGCTGCAACTGTCAGAAGTCATTTTTTTCAGTGCTGTTGTAACTTTGAACAGCCAATAAATGAATGGTTGTAAATTGAGGACTACCTGTAAATAGATGTCCTTGAAAAACAGCATGAGCAAGATGCCATCCATCATTCCTAAAATACATAGCTGCATTGGGAGTTTTGGAACATCCATTGTTCACACAGAGCAAAGCTGGCTAGCTAGTGGCTTGTGTCCTGGAAAATACTTTGGAATATGCTCCCAATTCTGTGCAAGAGTTTAGTTTTTATGTGCTCCTGGGTTTCCATAGCAGAAGGCAGCTTAGAGAAAGTACTCTGGTAGCAAGTACTCTGGTAGCATTTCAAAAGCACTGCCTTAAACAGCCTTGCTCTAACAGAATAATGACTGTATCTATCCAGGTATACCATATACAAATACACTTCAACTCACCCTAAACTGAAGTACCATATAGAGCGTGATCATCCAATTTTACAGGGGCTCCTTTGGCAGACCTGATTACTGCTACCAATGTTGAAGAAAGGTCCACAAGCCAGCTAAGGCTTATCACTGGAGCACTCCATGGTTTTCAGTGGAAGAATAAAGCATAGTTGGATGGGGTCCCATCCATATTTCTCTTATACTTGCATGGTGGATGAAGGAAGATCTCAGAGATGATATAGATATATTAAAAGGTAGTGTTGCTGTCTATAGTAGACATACAGAGAGTGAGAGTTCGTATATACATATATTACAATGTATATGTGTTTGCGCGTGCTTGTGAGTTCTCTGTATGTATTATATATGTAAGTGGCTATGTGGGGTTTCTTGTATCTTTAATGGAGGCAGAGGCTGCTGCCACCCTCGGCATCAGTTCAACCAGGAGGGCAGAGCAAATGGCATGCAATTGAAGAATCCCATACACTTTGTATTCCATGTTGGCAGGTACAGGGGCTTTGTTGTGTGTGCACTCAATGAGCAAGAATCTGGCCATAATGCTGCATAGCTGATACCTGACCTACCTCCGTGCTGGGTGCTTTACTGTTCTAATGCAGAAAATGGTGTTTGATTGTATTTTTCATAGGGTGAAAGAAAAAACGAAAAGAATTGGTGCATATTTTCATGTCAGTATGTTGTCATCTGCAAATGTATGTTGTGCTTGATGATCCATGTTCTTTAGTAACCTCCCTCTTTTCCAGATGGACAAAGAAATGCAGCCTAGTGCTACCAATGCCTTTGCTGAAATATTGCTTGCTTCCTCTCTCCCTCCCTCCCTGCCTGCCTTCCTGCCTCCCATGGTCAGCTTCACCATGGCCAGTAGGAGCACTGCAGGGTCTTTGCTTTCTAAGCAGATATCTAAAGAGTAAGAGGGAGGAAAAATGCAGGAAATGGGATTTTGCATATCTTACCAGCTCAAGGTAGTTTGATCATTTTACTGGCTGTGCCAGATCATGTGGACTTTAAAGCTTTTACTGTGATTCTTCAGTGTTTAAAGAAAAACCCAAACTGTGTTTCTATGATTTGTATAAAAGCCTTTTAAAAGTACTATTTAATAAACATTATAGTAGATAACTTTTCTGAGTCCACTTATTTTGGGAAAGAGAGGTAACGTTCTGATTTCTGATGCTTCAAGGGCGGTCTCCCTGCCAAAACCAATTTTCCCGCCTGCAGCCAGTGTGACTTTGCCTTTGTCCATGGCATAGACTGGATTAGTCTTTCAGGAAGATGGCAATGGGCTTTTCCACCCAGGGAGATTAATTGTGCTACATAACAAGTTACATATAGTGAGAAGTGGATTAAGGTATGATTATATATAATTGCAATTTCTTAAATTTCCATGGCAGTTTGTAATTTTGAAAACATTTGCTATGTAGAGTCTTGGCTACAGTCCAATAAAGCTATTGTGACTGCCCCATTAAAATCAAAGTAACAAATTGGTAATGGCTGATGTGCCCAGGGCTTTTAGCAGAATTCATAGCCCAAAGCTAGTTGTGTTTATTGGAAATTATTACCACATTGCTCTGCGTGGTTTATTCTCAATAAATGTATCAAATGTTTTGATCTTGGACAGTGCTACCATTAGCTAGATTAGACTTGCTTATAAAATCATCTGTAATTACCAGGAAACAAGTAAAAAATTCTGTGGTAAAATAAGTCTGCATTATTCACAAAGAGCTGAATTCTCTGACCTCTACACATGTATGAAATGTGAATGTTCTTGCCATTTTGCATATTGCATTCTTCTGCATTTCATAATGAGCAGGAATTATGGAAATCCATGAATACTTTATTCAGCCAGCCTCTACAGGTTGAAACACATGTAAGAAAAAATGGCACAGTATGAAATTTTGTTCTACTCTATAGAATTATTGGGTAGAGGGGAAAGGAAAAGGAAAATTTTCATGGAGTCATTTTGTGCCTAGGATTACACTCATTCTGTATTTTTTGTGCACAGAGTAAAAAAAAAATGTGCTGCACAGCCAGCTTTTCTGTTTACCAATAATTTCCCATGAACTTTAAAATTCCCTTTCTTGTCTAAAGATCTCGCTTGTTTTCACTAGGGCACAGTGAGTAGGGGAAGGGCAGGCCATTTGATTCTATAGTGATTAAGGACACCTTACATTCTGTACGTATAAAAATTAAAACAAAATACACTAAAAGATAAAATGAGAACTAGCCAGAAGCAACCCCCCCCCCCCCCCCCCCAAAAAAGCTAAGCTGCCAATAACCAACCAAAGAAGCTTTCATTCTAGCCCAGGGCCTGGGAAAGCCATCAGATCTTAAGCAGGTTGCAAAAAGTCAGAAGCCTGAGAGCAGGACAACTCTCCTTAGGGATATCATTCATGTTTCTGGGCAGGTGAGCAGAAACATGAGGAAATAGGTAATCTCTCAAGAAACCAGGCCCTATGCAATTGAAGGGCTCTATAGGCAATAACCAGTATCTTAAATTGCATCAGAAGCAGTTCACAAAGCACTGCCAATACCTCTCCATTTTGGACTAACTGTAAATTCCAAATGGTCTTCAAGGACAACACTAGGAAGAGCATATTGCAATAATTCAATCAACCAAAATAAAAGGTACCTCAATCCACAGAAGGAAAACAGGCATGGGAAGCATCTCAGAAGGGATCCTCCCCTAGTTTTCTGGAAAGCAAAAGTAAAGGAAGGAGAAGCTTTTTTCAGACTTGCACGTTTCTGTAACTGGTTTGTGCTTCTGAAGGGTTGACTTAAATCCTGCAATCTTTTTATTTTAAGATGGAGAGAAGGACAAATATTTTCCTCAGTTAGAAACAGTCCATGCATTTATCCACATACATTTTCATACAATTGTCTGGCTGTTTACAGCTTATTCTTCCTAATAATCTACTATATGAGCAGCAAGGAAAGTTTAGGATTTTAAAAGCTATTAGACACTGAAAACTTCAAAAGCCTTCTGTTTACCATGGAGTTAAATCACTGTTGCAGAATGAATCTACACCTTTAAAAACATGGTAGTAGTGCTCAATAAGTATTAACATCCAAGCAGGAGCCCCAGGTTATCAAACTCACAGGCTCAACTTCATAAATCTTTTTCAGAAGAATCCTTTATTCAGCCAAGGAGCTAGAAATAACCATTCCTGCCAGCCAGTAACAATCACTAATAAAGCTGCTCAACCAAATAGTGCATTACAATTTGGTATCTCTAGAGCTTTTCATTTCTTCTACATAATGTCCAGAATTTTCAGAACAATGATCTCTGGATACTGTATTTATTAATTTCCAAAATTAAATTCTAAAAAAGTTATAGATTTGGATTTTGGCATTTCAACTCATTTCATTTTCCTCCCTGTTACGATTGTGAGCACTAAGATTAGATTCAAAAAATGAATTCAAATATTCTTATTTCCTTATTCTTTATTTGCCTCAGTATCCTTCAGGCAAACATTGGGTATTTCTAATGCATTAATAGTGCCTACCAGCATCCATTAATCTCTTATTTGCAGGGGGGTATTTCCTTATCTTCCTTCTCCTTACAAATGTTTACACACCGCTGTGGAAAATGGTGCCAGATTTAGCCATGGCAAAAGTTGTCAAGAGGCAGTAGTGACTGAGAGGAAACATCTGGAGCCTGAGGCCACTAAAAACTATTGTTCCGTTTAAAAGCTATGCTTGGCTTTCCATTCTCATATCTTTCGGACAGATTTATTACAGCTGGAAGCAAATCAAATCTGGTGGGATATCTGTGTTTTGGGGTGAGATGTCCTGCAACAGAATTCTCCTTGTTTGTCTTCTGTGCTTGAATTCAGTCCTACCTTTTGGAGAATCATCTTTTATCCCTGTCACACTTCAGTCTCATGCTGTTTCTTATACATCTTATACATGAGGGAACATGATGACTTTTACAAGCAGTTCACATATTTCAGTTATATGCCTGGAGAAAATATCTACAAATACAAGTGTAGTCATGAGTGGCAGCTTCCACCATTGCTATCACTGTAAGGGAATGATAGAATAAAATCACAGAGTTGGGAGGAGCCATTTAGACTGGAGTCCAATTTAGTGCAGAATCCAAATCGAAGGATCCCAGTGAGTCGGTTCTCTAGACCTTACCTGAACACATCCAATAAAAGAATGATCATCACTGCAATGATGATGGATTATGCATGCTTCAAAAATAGAATGCTTTGGAATTCTAATGAATTCAGTACTACTCTACCATGGAATAAAGCACCCTTGTCCCTTCTCTTCCACTGAGTCTGAAAAAAGAGGTAGTTGCTTTAACACCATTTCATTAAAAGAGCTGCATCTTTAATGGGTCCCTTAAAGCAGCCATATTTTCATTCTAGCGGAAGCAGAAAAAAGGATATAGAGAAGAAGTATTGCTCATAAAATATATGAATTCCAAAGATTTCTTCCTAGCAACTGAAAAACATATAAAGCTGCCAGTCTAGAGTTATATTTATCTTTTTTTTTTTGCAGGTGGAACACCCTGTTGACTGTTGGTTTTCGATTTATCATCTATTTTTCCAAGTCCTTTGGAGAATATACATTCCAATCTTAAAACAGCAAACAATTTTGGTATTTTAAGCCATTCCATTATAAATAAATTCAAAGTATACCAGGGGAACAAGATCATCTATGACCCAAAAAACCACTCCTATATGACATTGATAGTAAATTCTGGATTAAATGAGCAGCTTGAAAGATGATTTAAAGGCATCTTTAATAGTTTTGTTCATATTTAATTATTCTGTAACATACATTGAAGCGATCCATAGTGATAACTAGATTGAAGGTAGCAACTGTGACCAAAGTCCTCATCTTTTCCACCTTAAACATAGATGCCCATGGTAGTGTTGTGGTTAGCTGGCAACAGGTGCAGATGGCTAAGGAGAGCGAGGACTCAGATGAGGGGCCAGGACCATTAGGGAGTGGACTGCTGCCTTCAGAGATTGTGGGGGCTGGCAGAAGTGATGAGGAGGTTCCCAAGGGGCCTGTGCCAAGTGCATGTGCGCGCAGTGCTGCTTGGAGAAAAAACAGTTACAACAGCATGTGTGACTTGGGGGTAAGGCTGCAAGGTAATGGCCCCTCCTTCAAGAAGAGCCAGCTGTGAAACTGACAGCTGTGAAACTGACCTTCTTTGCAGCTGTGAAAAAGCCAGCTGTGAAACTGACCTTCTTTGCAGAAGGCAAAGAAGTTTTGAACTCAGCCTCGTGGACATTACAGTTGGTATTTGAAGACTCTTGTAAACTATTTCTTATCTGTTGTTTTTTGTCAGACTTGAAAAAATTTGGCAAGGCTCTTTCTTGTCGGAGCTAATTAGTTGGAAGCAGCCTTTTATCTGTGAAGAAACAGGATTCTTAGCTTAAACATAAAAAGGTTATACTGCTGCCTTTGTCTTGTGTTTGCCCTCTTGGAACCAGGTTTGGGTCAGAACAGGTAGAGAGTGCCAAAATCTTGTCAAATCTCATGAGAGTTCAATATCCTTCCTGAACTTGGAGCCCTATGACTGCAAAGAGATACACCATCCCCACTCAGAACAATATGTTTTGAGCAAAAAGTTCTTTGATCTCTTGCAAGAGTAAATCATCCCTTGTTTGCTTGGCATGCATAGCTGCCTATTTTTATTTGTCTGAATGGGGACTGGAAGAAGATGACAAAACCCTAACTTGGCTCTCTACTGGAACCCAGGAGTTTTGCTAGGGATAAAGGCCTTGTTTCGTTGCCAAGATTTAGATCAGGGTTCTTAATATAAACCCAGGCTTTATTACTGAACCCCTTTGCAAACTCAGAATTCAGTTCTGATGCAAAAAGTCCTTTTCAAGCAGGATTTCAGTAAACAATCACTTAGAAATTCCCCTCTTAACCGTTATCAGGCAGAAAAATGTCTATATAATTCAGAGAAGTGGAAGGGAAGCACAAGCACTTAATACTGATGGGTATTACTAAGCAAGAGAGATTATTTTAAATTTTTATTTACTTCTTTGTCATGTTACCCCAATAGGTTGTATCTTCAAAATTAAATATAATTGGTGGTGAGCACCATCCATACACACGTTTTGCAT